AAATTTGATAATACGCAAACAGATTAAAGAGTAATATATTTTTTACCTAATAAAGGAATTCGTTTGAAAAATTTATCCTATTCAAATAGGGACCTTTGCAGAGCCCCTGGCGTGGTCTAGCAGAATGAAAATTCGTTATTTTTTCGCAGCTAATGAGACTAACATGGACAGAAATATCGCGGCGAAGTGAGAGGAAATAAAAGCGGAGTAAATACTACGACGGAACAAAGGGATACGGTACTAATTGAAAAAGCCCGGCCTCTGCGATCCTATCGAATTAAGGTCATCGGGTTCGAGTATCGGACCGTATCCATAACTACTAAATTACGGCGTTGTATTTCCACCCCGAGAGACCCCTCGTTGCTGCACACGTCCTTTCGCCAGATGCCGTCCTCCCGATATCGTCTCTCTCTCTCTCTGCGAGCGAGGTTATTACTTATACCGCAGGCCATTGGCGACGGTTTATTTTCTCGACGACGACGTAAGGAGACGATGACGACGACGAAAAGTGGAGGAGGAAAGAGAAAAGCAAGAGGAGCCCCCGAGAAGCCGGGGGAAGCCGGGGAAGCCGAGGGGGAGAAGGTCGCTCTCTTTCCCGACGGATTTGAACGCGAATCAATATTGGGCAGCGAGGCGAGGTTTTTGTCGGGCGCTGAAAGAAATCCCCTACTTCCTCTTTCCTACTTCGAGTGGGCACCGCCGCGCACCGGCTCTCTCACGGAGTCGAGAGATAGAGAGGCGGCGGAGAATCATGCTCGCGTAGGATGAAGTGAAGAGGGTCGGTCGCGAAGCGCGACGGAAGGACGCGCCGCCACGCAAGCGGGACACGAAAACGGAGGTGCGCTCCGCGAAGGAAGGAAGGAAGTAAGGCGGGAGGTGGAGGAGAGACGAGAAGTAAGAGAACGAGGATTCCGTTCGAGCAACTTACCGGACTTGTACGTTCTCTCTCTCCACGCTCGAGGATTTACAGATTACGCGCCGGTAGACCGAGCCCGCTCGAGTGTACGAACGAGCGTACACGGCGGCGGCGGCGAAAGCGCGAAAGCGGGAACGAGAGCGACGAGCAAGTGGTACGGGAGAATCGCGGGAGCGACGAGGATGAACATGGACCGAGTCCGCGTGGACTGCCGACTATCGTCGGGCGCCTCCGCCAATCAGACGGCCTCGTTGGCGCCCGTCGTCCAATCCGCTGGCGGCGCGAGTATTACGCGTTTATTATCAGGCGGCAAAAAAAAATGACTGTTTATAAATAATTAGAGAGGTTTTAATTAACCCTCGGGAAGAGCTCTCGGACCTCCGCTATTCGCCGGCGAGGCGAGACGAGACGAAACGAGACAAGACGAGAGACGAGGCGCGGCTCGGCGTTTTAATCGCTCGGCCGGTCTCGCTACGACCGGATCGTCCAGCGTCGTTGCCGCCACCGGCAACGAGACCAAGACCATGTTGTTCGTGCCATTCGCCTCGTTCGTCACAGCCTCCTTTCTCGGCGTCGCAGTCTCGCGATCCGTGTTATATTTGTAAAACTAAACCGACGCCACGATCGCGGTATCGATCGTTAAGAGAGCTCTCGCCTGACCGCGGTTCGAGATAGCTCCTTGTCTTTTTGCACGCGCGCGCACATAATGTATGTAAGAATGCCTAAAGCAGCGACGCGGACAACACAGGCGCTCCGCTGCAATTTTCGATAAGCGATTCCTCCTGAAGGCGTAACGGCGCGGTTCCTCCGTCAAATTCCTTTATTAAATATTCAAGCGTGCGTAAGCTCCCGCCGCCGATCTCGAGACCGTTCAATCGCTCCGGAAAATCTGCCGCTCTGCTCTACGAACAACGGAAGGGAGAAGAAATCAAAGCGGCATTGAGAAGTTTTTACGATCGAACGCACCGCTTTTCTTCCTCGTCGCCTCTCGCCACTTTCGGCATTTACCTTGGGTCCGTCGCTCCTCCCGTCGAACCCTTCGCCAACAAAAAGGTGCTCTCGCGCTTCTTTTTAGTCCTCGCGCGTACACAAGGACATAAACCTATACCCTTTTCATACGTGTAGCTCGGGATTTATTACCAAGGAACGGAGAGGTGTATCCCACGAACAAGTAGATGACTGTCGAATGGCTCTCTGCAGCAGCAAACAGTTATATAACTGTTTGCAAATATTACAATCTGCTCGATAGAGATTTCAATATTTTTCTCTCAATTTCACCGAATATATTGTATATTTTAATAACATAAATTGTTAAATTATTAAAAATATTTTTTGTGGAAAAGATTTTTGTAATCTAACGCTGAAAAATTCTTAAAAATAAATGTTTCTCTATATTAAAATAAATTTAATAATGTTGCGTTTGTTTCAACGCCAAAGTTAATATATGTTGAAACATTTTTTATTTAACTTTTACTCTTCCAAAAGAGTAATCGACTCTACAATTTCTCGTGTTTGTCATGCGATAGATATTACTTCAGTGGAGATACTCGACGAATAAAGGGGCAGAAGAAAGAGATAAGTAAACCGCGCTATTCCTCGGTGATCTTTGGCGGCCGGCCAAGAAATTTGTTTCGCGATCGTTGCGCGCCGAGCCGAGGAGAGAAAGATTATTTCTCGCTCGGTAGGAACGTCAAATATATCGCCGCTGGCGGCTCGACGCCCGTCGTCGTCGTCGTCATCGACGACGACAGCCGCGGCCGACAATGAACAGAGCGTACGAAATCGGTTTCCGGTCGAACGGTTCCGCGAAATGATTTATTACGCTGTGGAACGTGGCGAAACAGCCGAAACGAGCGGAGCGTGACCCGCGGCAAGCGGTGCATTATGGACACACTGGTTCGATGAATCGTCGTCGTCGTCGTCGTCGTCGTCGTCGTCGTCGGCGGCGGTGGCGGCTAAGAAAAACGATTCTTCAGAGGCACCCCGAAGTCGTAGGAATAAGCGCGTTCGCTCGAGCGTGGAAAACAGGGTAATTATACGATGGTGCCGTCGCATCGCACGCACCGTCGTGCAGTCGTCAAGCCGCTAATCCCGCGCGCGGCGATACCGGATACAAAACTGCCGCCTTCGTCTCTTACCGATTCCGTGTAATCGTCCATCGATCGAAGCACGCTCCGCTCGTCGTCGTGTCGATCGTGTTCAGTCCGACGAGCTAAAGATCCACTTACGAGCTCGAGAGCGAATTAATGGGCGTGTCGAACGCGCCAATCTCCTGATCGACTCGCTTCGATGGTAAACGCAACCGGGATAATAATCGGGACGGTTTAATTATAACTGATTTCTCGCAGACACCGTTCTCTCTTCCAACTTTATCCGATTTTCGCGCGCGCGCGCGCACGGGTGAATGTGTTTGTGTGTCTCGTCGTCTCGTTTATTTATTCTTCCTAAGAAGGGACAGACAGCACACTTTTCTCTCCCCTGCGTTTTTCTAACGAGAAGCAGAGAAATTTCCACCCGAGGAGCGGAATCTGACCTGTCTCCCTCCGCTACTTTCCGCTAGTTCCAATGTATATATGTACACAACGAAGGGAAGAAAGGGCGATGGAACTCCTAGGGGGTCATCGCGTCAGGGAAGATCCCTTAACCTCGTCTGCGTCGCTGATTAAAGCATAAATGGCAGAGGGATATATGGGGAGTCGCTAAGCGTGAAAGACAGAGAGAGAGAGAGAGAGAGAGAGAGAGAGAGAGAGAGAGAGAGAAGAGAGAGAGAGAGAGAGAGAGAGAGAGAAGTAAGT